GGAAAAGGTCTCGTCCATACAACCACCAGTGCTTGACTAGTTCATTTCAGGGCTTGTGAAATTACATATTTCAGAATGGTCCATATTTGGGGGTTTTGGCCCTCACATGTCTTGGTGGCATGAGAGCTCTGAACTGCCTTCTGTGTCCTGGGCAAGATGTGTTTCAGGCACTGCACCTCCTGCTCCGTGGGCACTCTCTTCTCTGCGCTGGCTCTGCTGACCAGCCCGGACACTTAGTCCGTGGCCACCCCTCCTGTTTCTGAGAGCCAGCGAAAAATGCACCATCATCCAATAAACTCCCCCTCGTGGAGAAAAATAGGGGAGAGGGAAGGAAAGAAAGAAGAAAAAAAAATTATACAGGACAGTTTTGTCATGCAGGAAAACAAAATGTCAGTTGTTTGACTTCAGCAAACTTGCAGAGAAGTAAATGAAAGCAGAATCTGTGACTGGTGCGTGCCAGGATCTCTAATAGTCTCTGTATTGCTTGCTTGGACTTTGTGCACACTCAAAAAGGAGATGATCCGTGTGTGTACATCTTCCTTCTGTTTTCAAAGTCATATCAACAGCCGATGATACTTCAAAACCAATTTTTAAAATTCTCTGGATTCCTTGGCATGGAGGAAATCATACAGTCAAAGACTGGGGGAATGCATTGCACCTCTTAGTACTAGGGTAATAATTCCGATGGAGTTCCAAAACCCTCCCTGAAATGGGTCGTTCCTTTGCAGTGTTTGCTTTGTTTCTATCACGCTGGCTGTGCAGCTCTTTCATCTCTCACTTTTTATCTGATTAATATTAACGTGTATACAAGCAAGCAGAGGAAGGAGCATTGTGGATTGAATTCTGATTTGCTCAACTTTATTGTTTCTAAACTGAAAAAGCTCTGAACTAGTTAACATTTGTTTCAGTGCCTCTGTCTATGGGATGCATTTTAGGTTGGTCATCTGCCGTTGCACATTGCTCCTATTACAAAAGTTTCAGTGTAATACTTAACTTGGAGTGAAACTGCCCATGTAGATGAGGTAGAAAATCCTCATTTAGTGCCAGAGTTAAGACTTGAGTGTGTTAGCGGTGTTGACAATATTGTAGAATCGAACTGTTCTTAAAACTTTATTTATTTTCCTCCTCATTATAGGG